AAGGAAGGAAGGAAGGAGAAAGAAAGGAAGGAAGGAAGGAAGGAAGGGAAGAAGGAAGGAAGGAAGGAAAGAAGGGAAGAAGGAAAGAAAGGAAGAAAGGAAGGAAGAAAGGAAGGAAGAAAGGAAGGAAGAAAGGAAGGAAGGAAGAAAGGAAGGAAGGAAGGAAAAAAAGAAGAAAGAAAAAGAAGGAAGGAAGGAAAGAGAGAGAGAGAAAGAAAGAAAGAAAGAATATATATGGAGGCTTCTTAAATTCACAGATAGAATTTAGGCCAACAAGAAAAATACTCCGAATCAATCCATGCTTTCTTGCGTACAAGTTAGCTTGATTACTGAACATTTTATAGAAGAAATTCCATCCCAGCCCTAAATTCTTAAGAATTTTAAATTAGTAGGCTAGGAAATTTTGATAATATTTGGTAAACTGGTAAAATTCCTAAGTTGGCAGGCTAGGATTTTTACTACAAAATTTCTGGTCCCTTTTTAAAAAAATCATTTATTTCCAGACATCTTAATTTAGCTAGTTCTATTATTCCTCATTATTTGTCCTCCCTGACAAACATATTTTTTTGAAGTCTCTTGTTTTCAATAGTTTTGCTATTTTGGTTTTGTAACAGCACAGTTGAAAGACTGTAGCTTTCAATGGCATTTTCCAATCTGCTCCAATTCTTGCCCCCCATCTCAATGTTATCTACCAAGTCTAGCTGTTCATCCAAAAGGATTAATCCCTAAATCAAAGAAAAAAAATCTTCATTAAAGTTGGTCTACACACCTTTCAGCTACTTCCTCTTCTCTTTTCTTTTCTTTTTTCCTTTCTTCTTCTAGTTCTTGTAATTTTAGCCTTTCCTGATTTCTCCTCCTTACAGCTCGTTCCCCAAAGTGTTTGGTTGTATCAGACGTAACCTGCTCCAAAACAATTCAAAGTTTCATTAGAAAAGTTTGCCAGCTGGCTGGGCACGTCCCAGGTCAGAAAGATAAAACTAAGATGGTACATGGTAATTCAAAATCAATTCAATTCAAAATGTCCTCTCTGCATCCCAGTACTCATATTCCTACTGCTTCTCAGCCACCAGCCAAACAGTACTTGTAAGCTTGAGGATTTTCTTTGGCAGAACCCTTGAATAAGTATATCAAATCATCACCTTAACTTTACACAATTTTACTTGTCAGTCATACCTCAATAAAGCTGTTTAAAAAAAAAAAAAAAAACCCTGAGGAGCTTACTTTACATTATGGTCATAGACACCATCACAGTGCCATCATAGGCACAGGCTGAGAAATGTCAGTCTGTTACTTCTGGTTCATTAAAAAGATCAAATGAGTTAAAGTATTTTTTTTAATCATCGGGAACAAAAATAATCAGAAGTGTCTGTGGTGCAGGGAGAACAAAGATGCACAAAAACTAACCTGATGAGAGAGAAGATCTATCATGATTAGTAAACAACTTTTCAAATCTTGAAATAAAGTGAAAATCAGATTGAGATACTACAAAATAGTATAAAATAGGTTAAAATTTTTGGTTAACCAAATCACAAGAAAATTAAAACCAGACACTGGACAGCGGGAAGTGGTCTCTCATCTTGTGGTAATATTTTATTTATTTATTACTTATTTATTTATTTTTGTTTATTTGTTTGTTTTTTGAGATAGGTTCTTGCTCTGTCGCCCAGGCTGGAGTGCAGTGGCATGATCTTGGCTCACTGCAACCTCTGCTTCCCGGCTCAAGCGATCTTCCAGCCTCAGCCTCCCAAGTAGCTGGGACCACAGGCAAGAGCCACCACACCTGACTCATTTTGTATTTTTTGTAGAGACGAGGTTTTGCTATGTTGTCTTGGAGCTCAACATGAGCCACCCGCCTTGGCCTCCCAAAGTGCTAGGATTACAGGTGCAAGCTACCGCACGGAGCCTAATTTTTTATTTTTTAAGCTGAGCAGTGGTACATGGGTGGTCATGACAGTATTTGCTATATCATTTGCCTGGCTGAATAGCTCATAATTTTAAAATACACATTTTAACATAACTAGCTACATATACACACGTGTGCGCGCACACATACACATACTCATACACTGGAAGCTGAAAGTCCAAATTCATGCTAAAGACTGATTTACAGAAAAAGGAGAGTCTAGTTGCATCTTTTCCACTGCTGGGTTAAGACTTCAAGAAGGAGATGACGAAAGCATGTAGACATCAATGAGATGACATGATGGAGTAGACAGGCTGATTTTGAAAGTAAAGAACCCAAGTTTGTTAGGATTATGTTTTAGCAGTTTACCTAACAGACATCCTGAAAATTTAAGTTGTGACCCAGGAATAAAGAGGGAAAAAAACTGCTCTCCATGTGGTTTCTTTTTTTTTTTTTTTTTTTTTTTTTGAGACAGAGTCTCACTCTGTCATCCAGGCTGGCATGCAATGGCGTGATCTCGGCTCACTACAACCTCCACCTCCCAGGTTCAAGCAATCCTCATGCCTCAGCTTTCCAAGTAGCTGTGATTACAGGTGCCTGCCACCATGCCTGGCTAATTTTTCTATTTTTAGTTGAGACGGGGTTTTGCCATGTTGGCCAGGCCAGTCTCGAACTCCTGACCTCAAGCAATCTGCCTGCCTCGGCCTCCCAAAATGCTGGGATTACAGGCGTGAGTCACCACACCCGACCTCCATGTGGTTTCAAATTGTATGTATTCCTCTCTTCCTCTCTCTCAGCAACTTGTCAAATATAATAAGCATATGAGATAATTCCACAGGGGCCATCAGGAATTCTTTAATGCCCTCAAGTAGTTGAGACAGAGCCTCAGATTATAAGAACCATCACTTTAAAGTCACAGCTGGCAGCATGCCTGATAGCACAAGAATGAGTGTTCAAATCAGGATTGTTTTTCTTCCTAAACATCCATGTATTAAAAATAATAAGTCTTTATATATCAGCTATTGATCAGAGCCTGGTAGGGTCTAAGAAAATTTATTCTAGATGCTTCCTTCCAGCTTTTACTCAGGATCACCCGAACAGTGGAAAATAAAAGAAACTCTGGCTACTTCTTACCTTAACGTTACATGCCAGAGCTTTCCCATCATCTCCTTCAAGCATCAGTTTCATTCTTCGAAGGGACAGCATGGCTTTTACAAAGTCAGTTGCCTCTTGGTACTGTATGAAGGCCTCAAATGTCTGTAAGCCAAAGCTAAAACCCCCAAAGCTCCTGTCAGTCATCACTTCTCTGTAGGGGCCAAGCATAAGGATATCCACATTCTTGATCTTCCCAAAACTTTCAAAGACTACCCAAAGGATCTCTTCACATGGCTTCTCCTTGCTAGAACCTTTAGGTGCAAACTATTTACAGGGCAAGTCTTCAAAATATATGGAATCTGGGCTCTTCTCATGGTCCTTCAGCCCCGTCACTCAACGAGGGCTCTCTTCCCTTGGGGAAGTGCTCCCATTCTCCCTGGGCATCTGTAGCCACTACTTTTAAGTCTTTTTTCAAACCATTTAACTTGATAATCTTCCCATATAACTTTGCCTTCAGGATCTGAACCAAACTTCGGGTCTCAGCCTCACCCTCAAATCGAATGAAGTCCTCTGTACTATTGGAAAGCCAAACTGTGGTGAACTGGTCAGGGCAAATCAGGCTCTTCAGCTGGTCAAGAACTTCCCAGTTAGAGAAGGGCCTCACAGGTTCTAGACTCCCTGGAAGCAATATGCTTCCAGGCATATTGGAATATCAACAATTTTGCTATGGGCTTGAGGTAGAGGTGCTGAGCTGCACAGAGCTCTGTTGCCTCAGAGTTATCATACACCACTGTGACTGTCATGGTGTCCTCAGACCACCTTAGAGAGCGAAAGAGAAAATTTTGATACAGATGGAGTAATATACAGATTTGGATTGTGAAATGGTGTTGGCATTGCTGGACTTAGAACAAATTGATAAGAAAAGCTATACTACAAGTAGAATTAAAATAATATCTTCTGATGCCTGGAAATAATAAGTTATTTCAGCAGGGCTTCCGAATATAAGGTTAATACAAAAAAGTCAATAGCCTTCCTATATAACAGCAACGAACAAGTAGAATTTGAAATTTAAAACTCAATACCATTTACATTAGCACACAAAACAATGAGATACTTAGTTAGAAATCTTACAAAATATGTACAAGATCTATACAAGGTAAAGAAAAACTAACTATGTGGTCCACGAATAAGAAGACTCAAGATGTCAGTTCTTGCCAACTTGATCAATAGATTCAATGTAATCCCAATCAAAATCCCAGTGAGTTATTTTGTGGATATTGGCAAACTGATTCTAAAGTTTATATGGAGAGGCAAAAGATCCAGAATAGCTAACTCAATATTGAAGAAGAACAAAGTTGGAGAACTGACACTATCCAACATCAAGACTTACTATAAAGCTATAGTAATCAAGATAGTGGTTTGGTAAAAGAAAAGACAAATACACCAATAGAACAGAATAGAAAGTCCAGAGAGGCCCACATAAATACAGTCAACTGATCTTTAAAAAAGAGGAGCAAAGACAATATAACAGAGCAAAGATAGTCTTTTCAAAAAATGGTGCTGGAACATTTAGACATCCACAAGACCTTGCATATGGCAATGACTTTTTAGATGTAACACCAAAGGCACATTCTAGAAAAGAAATAATTGATAAGTTGGATTTCATTAAATTTTAAAATTTCTGCTCTGCAAAACACACTGTCAAGAGAATAAAAAGACAAGCCACAGACCAGGAGAAAATATTTGCAAAAGATATGTCAGATAAAGAATGGTTATCCAAAATATACAAAGAACTCTTAAAACTCAACAATAAGAGTACAATCTGATTTTAAAATGGACCAAAGCCCTAACAGACACCTCCCCAAAGAAGATACACCAGATGGCAAAAAAGCATATGAAAAGATGCTTCACATCATATGTCATCAGGAAAATGCAAATTAAAACAACAATGAGATACCACCACACACCTATTAGAATGGCCAAAATCCAGAACACTGACCACACCAAATGAGGTCTCCTTAAGGAAGAAGTATCACAATGAGCATGTGGTACAACAGAAACTCTCATTCATTGCTGGTGGAAATGCAAAATGGTACAGTCATTTCAGAAGACGATTTGGCAGTTTCTCACAAAACTAAACATACTCTTGCCATATGATCCAGCAATGCGCACTCCTTGTTATTTCTCCAAAGGAATTGAAAATTTATGTCCAAACAAAAACTTGCATATAATGTTTATAGCAGCTTTATTCATAATTGTCAAAACCTGGAAGGAACCAAGATGTTCTTCAGTAGGTGAATGGATAAATAAACCATGGTACATCCAGACAATGGATTATTATTCAGCCCCAAAAAGAAATGAGCTATCAAGCCATGAAAATATGTGGAAGAAACTTAAGTGCATCTTCCTAAGTGAAAGAAGCCAATCTGAAAAGGCAACATACTATATGATTCCTATTACATAACATTTTGTAAAAGGCAAAACTATGGAAACAGTAAAAAGATCTGTGGCTGCCATGAATTAGAGGGGAGGGAAGGTTGAATAGGCTGAGCACAGAGGATTTTTAGGGCAGTTGGAGCTATGTTGTATGATACTGTAATGATAGATACATGTCATTAACATTTGTCCAAAACCACAGAATGTTCAACACCAAGATTGAACTCTAATGTAAACTATGGACTTTGGGTTATGATGATGTGTCAATGTAGGTTCACTGATTGTCACACATATAACCACTCTGGTGGAAGATGTTAATCACGGGGGAGGCTAGGCACGTGTAGGAGCACGAGTATGTGGGACCTCTATATTTTCTGCTCAATTTTCTTTTTTTTTTTTTTTTTCTGAGACGTAGTCTTGCTCTGTCACCTAGGCTGGAGTGCAGTGGCCTGATCTTGGCTCACTGTAACCTCCGCAACCCAGGTTCCAGTGATTCTCCTGCCTCAGCCTCCTGAGTAGCTTGGATTACAGGCGTGCACCACCACACCCGGCTAATTTCGTGTTTTTAGTAGAGACAGGGTTTCACCATGTTGGCCAGGCTGGTCTCGAACTCCTGACCTCAGGTGACCCACCCACCTCAGCCTCCCAAAGTGCTGGGATTACAGGCATGAGCCACCACACCAGGCCCCTTCTGCTCAAGTTTCTTGTGAACCTAAAACTTCTCTAAATAATAAAGCCTATTAAAATAATAATATCTGTTCTATAAGTGAATAATAATAATATGTAATCTTTATTTAATAATATTTGTTTAATGTTTTTAGAGCTTTCAAAGAGTATATACTGTGTCTCAGTTTCCTTAACCATAAAATAGAGATAATAAGATTTGGGGGAGGATTAAATGAGTGAGTACAGGCGAAATCCTTAGAATGTGCCTGGCACAAAGGAAGTTCTCAATAAACATAAGCTATAATATTATCTATTAGTGGTAGTAGTCTTACTTTATCTCATTTGATTTATGAAGCAACCTGTGAGTAGGTATTTGCCTGCCTGTTTTACAGATGGAGAAATTCAGACAGTTTCAGGAAAATTAAAACACTTGCCCATACATTGAGAAGCCAAGATTCTAAATCTCTAATCTATTATACAATTGATCTTAAATGTAAAGTCCCATTAAAAACCTGCTGGGGATGGTACACAAACACGGCAAGGGTGGCACATTAATGAACATGCACCGAACATGCATAGAACTTATAGTTCTAACCCATGCACCTGACTTAGCATCCCTTGTCCAGGTTGGTTTCCAAGTCTAAAATGGACATATCTACTCTTATTCCTCCAGTCTGTTGACTTTAACTAAATTGATCTCTAAGTTAAAGTTAAGAAGAGACAGCCTTTTCTAATGAGTGACAAAGTGAATTTGTCCTCTACTTTGGGACTGGAAAAATCCCAAAACATGAATGCTTGCTGTTTACTTCATATTAACAAACTATTTGAAGCAGTACTAAGGTGAACAAGATCACTAATGCTGGAAATTAAAGATTTAAGCTTCTATTTGCTTAATTTAAATAGCACTTCCCAATAAAGGAGTTTTTTCTGAGTGGATATATCCAGACTCTATGTCACCAGAGTTTCCCATTAATGTCAACTTTAGGGAAATTTAGACCCAAACATATATGGCCAGATGACAGAAATTCTAACACAAAATTTACTGCGAAGTCTTGGCTAACTTTATAGGTACATAATTATTTAATAACTACCCCTAAAGGACAATCCAAGTTAATTTCCTTTAGAAGACAAGGTTTGTATAGACTGATTTTATAAAAGGTCATCAAAAGCAGTATCTAAGATACTATGTTCTAGAAATCCTTATGACAGCAACACTGAAATGGGATGATATGAAAATAAACATGTTTTCTTTCTCCAGAAGCATTATCTAAATAGCAAAATGGAAAAACTCCAGTTAGTTTGCTGTAATTTGCAATAAGGGTCAACACTAAGGCCCCTCTAGGAGAAAAATTAATGTGATATTCAATTAAGATACACTGAACTCTAACATTTATTTATAACCATTAGGTATTTATTTACACAACCTAATATAAAGCAACAGTTTTTTAAAAACATTCCAGAAAATATACACCCAAAACAGAGTTACTCTCTTCAAAGTAATCAGGCTTGTCAAGATTTCCATTTGCTCCAGTGATACTGCCTTTGTTTAAAACACTGTAGAATGCTTCTCTTGGATTGATTTCAAAGCCTGGGTTACATTATTTTAAGTAGCTTCATGGAGGCCAATTTCTAAATTCCTTTATAATGGATTTGATATTTAGAAATTATCACAAATTACGTATAATCAAGAATGTTGGGTAAAATGGATGACTACAAGAACAAACTGATTTTCCCAAGAAGACCCAATTGTTTTTGAAAATAAAAAAAAGCTGACCTCCTTTAAAATCCTCACAACTTAAATTCCTGTTTCCCAAGGACAAAAATGACAACAAACGAAGGCATTTGTTCTTCTCATATCTTTCATAGTTGTTCACAGGCTTTAGATCTTAAAATTGAATGTCAATAAATATTTCATCTTAAATTACTCTCCCAAAATAGAGGGCTAATTATCTAATCTTACTTTTAAAATATATTGAGGACCTAGTATGAACTAAGAAGTAAGCTTTTTATATATGGCATGGCTTCATTGCTATAGCAGTGTCATTGGCAACTTCTTCTAAGTCACTAAAAATTAACTAGCATAGTGACTGGGACATAGGTGCACAACAACCAACTCCCGTTGCGATGCTTCTTCCTTAAGGAGACCTCAAGTCGAAAACTAATAAAAAATATAGGAGAAGAAGGAGGAGGTAGTGGAGGAGAAGAAGGAGGAGGAAGAGGAGGAGGAGAAGGAAGGGAAGAGAGGAAGGGAGTAATTTTATTTTTAGATATTTAGTGAGTACAAGTGCAGATTTCTTACATGCATGTATTGTGCAGTGGTGAAATCTGGGCTTTTAGTGCACCCATCACCTGAATAGTGTATATTGTACCCAACAGGTAATTTTTCAATCCTCACCTCCCTCCCACCCTCCCACCTTTTGGAGTCTCCAATCTATTATTTTACTCTATATGCCCATGTTGTACATTTCTTAATGCTTCAATTTTTTAATGTTTATAATAAGAATGTATTAATTTTGTACTTTGTTTTTAATTAAAAAGAGGAACTTCAGATGATAATAACAAGCTATTAAAAGGAAGCAATTTATAACTGCTGACACCAACTTGTCCAGAAAATAGTAAAAAAAAAACAGATTAATACAATAGCAACTCCATTCACCCACCAAAAGCACCTCTCTTTCTGCCATCACTGTAAATGCCTATA